CCCGGTCCCCCCCCCCCCCCCCCCAAGGAGAAATATTCTGTTCTCTCCTGATCCAATCTATGCAGTTTAAAGAAAACTGCACAGATTGAATCAATCCCCCCTCGGGCTTTTTGACTGTCTGTACTTGGCCCAGAAGGTTACTAAAGACCTCCTGTGAGGTCTTGAAGTATATTAAATGGCTGAATAGTAGTCAGCTGTAATCCTGACTTAAATAGTTGTTCTCTCAAAGGAGTGGAGGCAAGAAAGGTGAAGCAAGAGAAGGGGACAAAAAGTGAGAAAAAACACAGAAATGGAAGAAATCTGAGGAGAGGGATGTGGGCTAGCATCCTCTTCTCACCACTGATCAGGTACCTGCTGCTTGCGTCTGCTCACTGCTGGAATCCTGGGGCGCCTATACACATGCATTGAGGCTGCTTCGACATGCTGTAATTACAGTGCATTGGTGTGGGCTCAATTAATCGAGGCTGCTGGAACATGGTAATTACCATGCTCCAGCAGACTCCAGCATCACATATATCAGTGTAAAACACTGTAAAATGGTGGTGGGATGCATTAACTAAAGGTCATTCAACGAGCTCTAGTTAAAGCACTCCAGCCGCCATTTCTCAGCGCAGGGATGCTGATACACATGCAATGCTCTGGGTGCTTTAATTAGAGCAACTCTTTATAAAATGCCCTTCATTAGAAAATGTTGATTGTTGAAAACTCTTCATAGGAATGTATTTTTTTTATAGGACGTTTTCTCAGGGGACATTTAGGGCAATGAAAGAGAGGCATGCCTTCCTAACAGTCTTCTTTAGCATTGGGCTCCACTACTTGGACCCCAGAGTGTGATTTCTGGAGGTATTGTCCATAGGATTAATTCTTCAGGAGGAATGAAACAGCACTGCTGGACAGTACCAACCAGCAGCAGCATTGACTACATTCTCTTGAATAGCCAGTAGTCTAAGCATTACGCCATTTGTATAAGATATGAAAGACACAGTTTAAAGTTCCTTCTCTCACTGATTTGGAAAAGAAACTTAAATCTGGGTCCCCAAAATCCCGGGCGAATCCCTTAATCACCAGGCCTCTCTGTCAGTCTCTCTCTAGCTCAGGGAATATTTAATTATTTACACAAATTTGAGCAGCTTCTGGAAGAAAAATGAAGAGAGAAACTGACTCTACATTGTTAGTGAGGATGCTTGTTTAGGATGTAAGAAAGCCGGTTTCAGACCGCTTCACTGGCTTGGGTCATAAAGCAACTTAAACCTGGCTCTTGTCCATTCCAGGCGAGTTCTGGAAGCCCTGAGATATTGAGTATTCTGAGCAGCGATGTGGGGAAAGTCTCCCTCCCCCCTCTTCCCCATGCATGGAAACTGAATTCTGAAATGCTAGAAATCATTCTCAGAATTTAACTCTTCTTTTCTGGCCAACCCTCCTCTGACTGACTGATCCTATCACTTGTCCAGTTGACTCTGGGAATTTCTTGGCTTGTCTCTCACTGAGCTGCTGCAGCACCCAGTATGATCAATAATGCTTTACAGGCCTCTCTCCCATTCAGAGCTACGCTTTGCTGGGCTGGGCAGGGAATGGAGAGGAGAGCCAGGATTCCACCGCTGCAGTGCAAGTACAGCATCTGCTACTCATTCCTCTCATTCGTCCGAGTGCCCTGAGCAAGTGGATTTTCTTAAGTCATGTCTCTAAACAATATGTTGGGAGAATTTTATTTCATTTTACAATTCCTTAATAAATAAACCATTTGGCCACTGAAACTAAACTGACTGCAGTCAGAAATCCTTGCAATCAGAAAGCTTTTCCGATACTCTTCTCTCTAGGTGCCCTTGTTCTTGTTCTTCTCTAAGATCTTAATGTTCTTCCACTGGAGAATATTAAAACATAATGCAGGATTTTATGTATTATTACCCTTGCATCTATAAATCACTTACCCATAGTAGCTGTAAATTATATTTTCCATCTTCCATACAGTTGTTGCCACACTGAGGTGGATAATGATGTCTTGACTTACTGCTCTAGTAATGTACTTAAATCTAGGAAATCTGTCACTGAAGGCATTTTAACATAGGCACTATAAACTGTAGCTGAAATTTTAAAGCATCTGCTGTCAAGTTATGTGTCTTGAAGTCTTGTTTCTTATACTTAGTTTTCATAAGGTTTTTGAAGTTTCTGAATTGTTTCATGGGCAAAGACAAATATATGCAATAAGTTTCATGAGGTCCCTTCCCTTCTGAGTACCCACCATCATAAATTATGCAGAAACTCCAAACATGCATACTAGAGCTGACCCACAAAATCATACTCTTACGTATTAGGCCTTGCCAGCCTCACACAGTGTAGTAATTGTGTACATTCCTATGGAACTGGCATTCCCTACATTGAAGGACTGTGGGTGCGCCTACACGAGACATTGACTGCGCAGTAGCTGAATAATATGTGTGGCCGAATAATATATTAGCACAAAGTGTTAATATGCTACTGCACAGTGGCATTAAGCTACTGTGCAGTAACATCACTTAAAAGGTGTTTGCTGGCACTACTGCACATTTATTTTGTACTTGATTACACAAGTACAAAATAAATGCGCAGTAACCACTGCGCAGTATCATCTCGTGAGGATGCGCCCAATGGCACTTAGACATTAGAAGATGGATAGACCGGCATTTTCCCTTTCTTACTTTGTTTTAATTTTGTTTACAGCACTTCTGTATGCAACCATTTTTGGCAATGTGACAACCATCTTCCAGCAAATGTATGCCAACACAAACAGGTACCATGAAATGCTGAACAGTGTCCGGGATTTCCTTAAGCTCTACCAGGTGCCCAAAGGTCTGAGTGAACGTGTGATGGATTATATTGTTTCCACCTGGTCAATGTCCAAGGGGATAGATACAGAAAAGGTGAGTAAATGTACTTTAAAATAAGCAAGTGACCTTCTGAAAACTTTCTGAATGTGTCAAGCTGTTTCATTATATTGAAAGGGAGAAACTTACTTGAATCTAGATAAGATAAGGTGCTTCAATCCATACTAAGTAGCAGCTGCTATTTATTTTTATTTCATTAAAAAAAATAATTCCAGTGATTGTCATTTTTTGATATGTCAGCAGTAGCATACTATTATGTTATTTCTTCCATTGATATTTTAATGAGGCAACGTAAAAATAATAAATATAGAGTAAAAATACCTCAGGAAAAAAGATACAGTTCCACGATGAAATATTAAAAAAAAAAAACAGTGCTACCTTACACAATAAAATTTCCCATAAAACTGTAATTTAAAAAAAATTATTTAATTTAGAAAATTATGACAATTTCCTGAATGATGGAAATTTGCTTGCAACTATGTGCAAGTACAAAATGTAGGATCTGCTGCATGATGGGAATATATTTATAGGGTATTGCTTACAACATTGGGGTCAGCCTTTTGGTAGACATGCCACAAATTAGTTCCATATCAGTTCCAAGTATCACTCTGATCCTCTTTCCCGCCTGACCTGCTACTTGGCTTTCTGCTCCCAGCCCTGTGGTCCTGCTTTATCTGCTGCTCTGCTTTTTGCTTCTTTCTCTTTTCTCTCTTCCCAATTTGCTACTTTGCTTTCTGCCCTTTCTGCCACCCTGCTGCCTGCCACACACGCACAGGATGCTCATGCCACTTGTCACATTAGCCACCCTGGCTTACAACATAGCTTTAAAATATAGACAGAGGTTTTTAACATAGACTAGATTTTACCTTTTTAAAGGATATTTACAAAGGGGATTTGGGATTTACTTTGTATTAGGAAAAATATTTTCATCCTAATTCACTGAAGTACTACAACACTCATCTTGTTTATCAAGTTAACAGATTTATCAGGTTAACATCAGAACAGACAAAATTGTCTTCATGTGGGTTGCTGCTTTAATAGACAGAGTCTCCATTTCTCTTGTCAATAGAGAGATGTGTCCCTGTGTTCCAGGGCAGTTTGTTTGGAAAATTACAACAGTGCTCCAGTCATCAGCCTTCTCAATAATTGCTCAGTTCAGGGGTCAGCAGGATATGGTGTATGGGAGAGGTTTGGACCTTTGAGCCACTGCATCTGGCCCATGGACCTGGAGGGCTTTGTCTATGCCCATACTAGGACCAGAAAGTGAAGAGCTGTCCCAGGGCCAGGTAGCTTGCAGCTGTGCTTGCTTTGCTGCCACTTCCACTCATCCTCGCGGCTCCAGTCCAGTGGGGGCCAGGTGGTTTTTAGCAGCATATCGGCAGTGGGGTATTTGTGCCTGGGCCCAGTGGCTGGGAGCTGCTCCTGCACTGTCAGTGCTTCCCATAGCCCTCCGCCACCAGGATGCAGCACTGGTGCAGTTTCCAGTTGGAAGAGAACTGCCCCAGAGCTGGGTATCTGCAAACTGCATCCACACTCCTACTGCTTCTGCCCTGTGCCCCTTCCCCTCCCTACCCCTGCCCAGCAGCTGTGGCATGACCACAGCTTCCAGCCAGTAGGGAACTATGCTAGGGATGGGTAATTTTTAGCTGTTCCCATGCCACAGCTGTGGGGCAGGGGGATGGAGAGGGACAGTGGAGAGATGTGGTGGCAGCACAGATGCAGTTTGCAGATACCTGATTGTAGTGCAGCTCTCTAGCAGCTGGAGAGTGGGGGCTGGGAGACATGGCAGCATGGGGGCAGTTCCCAGATGCCTGGCCCTGACATGGGTGTGGGGAAAGCAAAGCCTCTGCCAGTGGTGTGTTGTACAATTTCCTTTTTAAACAGGGTGAACCCAGTAAGAGTACTGAAGCTAGATCCTGGGTTCCCCTTATTTAAAAAGGAAATGCATCATATGTAACCCTAAGAATGCCTTTGGAGACAGCAAGATGTCTTAAATTACACTTGACTTGTCACCTTCTAAAATTACTTTAATAAATGGAAAATGTCTTCAATGTTTAGGACATCAAAGAGAACGTATGATGTAGACACATTCAGAGATTAAGACCTGGTATTTTTGGCTGAAAAACAAAGCAAATGGAGAAAAAAACAAATCAGCCTTCACATTTTTAACAAGGGCTAACCAATATAGGATTGACAAATGGCTGTACCAGTCCTTAAATTCTCAAGTGTCAGCTCTGTTGATTTTTGCATTCATATACAAGTTCTAGAATGCCACATAGTGAATAAAACATGATATTGTTTCCACATGCCTGCAGAGCTTCCAGTGGTAGTGCATAATGTCATGGGCTAGGGACAGACATTCAAAAATCCTGAGTCTGAATTGATTCAATCTTTGCAGGTTATGTTAACCTGGCTAGGCTGAACTGGTTTGTAACTGCACAGACATCCCAGACGTGCAGGCACATGCCTACAGTGACTCCACCTAGAAGCTGGGGGGCACTAGAGCAGCCCTCCCATCCATTCCACTGAGCTGGGGGGGAGGGAGGGATGGGCAGACCCTGGCAAGATGCTTTGATTAACCCAGCAGGGAACTGATAACAGTGTTTATTACCCTGTAACTCAGTGTTTATCACCCCATTAAAAAAAAAAAATAAGAGGGACATTACCAGCTACCTGGAGAATCAGGAGGCAGAATCAACCTGTTGATTCAGCAGGAACCGTAGCCAGCATGTGGTCTGCTAGCTAATACACAGACACCTCTTCAGCAAGGCAGAGGGGAGGGGGGAATTCCTGCTTAGCACAAACTGGTAAAGGGGAGAGGGGGAGCAGCCTGCAGTCTGTGCTGGAGCTGCAGCCAGGGAGCAGAGGGGAGGGGCCAGGCCTACTGTGGAGCAGAGAGCCCTACCCAGCCCAGAGAGCATGTCAGGATGATGGGGGTGTCTGGTTTATCTTAAACCAGAAAGGGGTCTTGGACAGACATTGCATAAACCGGTTTAAGCCAAATCCAGTTATGTCTGATATTACATTCAACCAGGTTTATCTCAAATCAGTGTCAGCCATTTTCAAACTGGCTTATGTGCACTGAACGTCTGTTCTGTTAGAGGTTTAAACCAGTTTCTGATCACTTAAACCGATGAATGCATAATGTCTGTCCCTATGCAGCCTGCTACTGGTAAAACAAATATTTAAAGATGAGCTTATTTGCATGATCAATCTTTGTAGTATTTTATACATCACAGTATATTGCTTGACTTGGTGCTGACCATGTTATTTATTTGGGATTGAATCAATAATGAGGAGCAAGGTAAGTCTGGCAGTTTCACAGATGTCATTCTAATCAAATTTAACAAAAAGTGTTTAGAAAATTCTGAAAGCAAACTATGACACTCCCCTTCCACATCTCTTTGAGGTGTTAATACTAATATGAAGGTACCATGGTCCTAGTAGCTCACAAATAATTGCCTTGGGCAGTACTCTCCTACAGTGGGAGTCAATTCGTTTTCTGCAGCCTAATAGCACCACATGTGTAGACAGCAATGCTTTACTGCGGAGCTAATTAGTCAGCTCTGCAGTAAAGTGTCTCTGGTAGATGTGCCCAGTGTCTCTGACAGTCATCCAACTGTTTCCTGTTTTATCCCTGCCCAGCATGTGAGCTTTGCACTGAGTCCATGATTCTTCTTCCTTCCAAAGAGAAATATACGGAAGTAACACTGGAGCACTTCAAGCTGCTCCTTAATTAGGTGAATTAGAGGGAAATGGTGTGTACCCCTTGTACTCAATTAGAATATTTATCTCAAATAATGCATCTCTTGATTTCAACTTCATTAGAGTTTGTATCATCCAGGAACTGTTGTAGCATTAATTCCAGCTCATGTTGTGCATTTCTGGGATTTTCACTAGTAATTTTAAATGTGTACAAACACTGGAAAGGCTTTAGTCTCCACCTCAACCCTGTCTGCAGTTTATCTCCCAAAGTAGAGCTGATATTGTGCACAATAGGATAACTAAAACAATGCCACCATTTTATGGCTGTAAAAAGCCATGATACAGAAACTTGCTGCAATGGAGCACCATGAGAAATGTTATCCACCATAGGTGTAAGTCCACTTCTTATATGACAGAAGGACTCCGTTCCTATCTGCCAGGGTGTGAGGAGCTTGTACTTCTTTGTGATTAAATGCTATGTGTTAATGCAGTTTTTATTATTTAGCTAAAGGAATCTGAGTCTCTGCTTCCCACACATACTCCAAGTAGGTAAAGCACAATGTGTAATTTGTGCAGGCTTTTCATTGAATAGCTTATTAAAAAGTGAAATATATCCACCAAAAACAAGCCTCTGGCTTTAGTTGGCATTCTATGAAGGCTTTCTACATTACTGTGCTGTTAATTTTACTGTTTTAAAAACCTGCAGCATTAACATATTAATTCAATATCCAGCAGAGCATGTTGCTGAGATAAAATATTATTTTCCTTCTGGTATTATAAAATAGACTAAATTAGTATTATGGAGCTTTTTGTACTGAAGGTAGAAATCTGTGAGAAGAATGCAGTAGTTCCTAAACCCAGTATAGTAAAATATATAAAGTGGGTGACACTGTGAAGGTGTATAGCCAGTCTAATGACCTAGGACTTTTTCACAGAAAGTGATTACCTAATTTCCTTTTAGGTTTTACAGATTTGCCCTAAAGATATGAGAGCAGACATCTGCGTGCATCTGAACCGCAAAGTTTTCAAGGAGCACCCTGCATTCCGGCTGGCAAGTGATGGTTGTCTTCGCGCTCTAGCTATGGAATTTCAGACGGTCCATTGTGCCCCAGGGGATCTCATCTACCATGCTGGCGAGAGTGTGGACAGCCTTTGCTTTGTGGTTTCAGGGTCTTTGGAAGTAATCCAAGATGATGAAGTTGTTGCTATTTTGGGTAGGTCTCATTGTTTATAGCCTATGTGTGCCCTCTGTATATGTGTCTATCTACACAGATAGCATTACATTAATTCTTCGCATTCCTAGAGCACCTTACGTTCAAGGATCTATGCACGCTTTTTAAAGTATAGAGAGGTAGCCAGGTATTAGTGTCTCTGTTTAACAGAGGAAGACAAAGTGGCTTGCTTAGGCTTAGGCAAGAGCCTGATGTAGAATCACAAGTACATCCTTCTGCTCCATGTATGTCAATGGAAAATAACCCATGTCAACTGCGACTCTTGTCCAAAGTGCTTGACGTCAGCAACAACCCTGCTGTCATTGAAATAATAGTTCATCAGTAATTTCAGTGGTGGAGACATGGTTAGACTGACTCTGTGTGCTTTAGAAAATCGTACTATTAAAATCTTAAAAACAGGTGTAAAAAAGCTTCGGTTTCCAGAAATGTTATAATAAAATGAATGTTATTTATCATTTAAATAACAACTAGGGGAGGAGAAATGACTTGGAAGAAAGTTTGAAGATGCTGCTATGATACTTCTACCAGATATACTTTGCAATAAACAAACATTAAGATAGTTCACAAGTACTGCTGGATGGTAAATGGTTGTTTAGATTTCAAACACTTCCTGTTTGACACTAGGATGCAATTAACGTATTTCAGTTTTTTTCCACAAAAATGGGGGAAAGGGCAGGGGAAGAGGGACTGAGAGAGAGAGATCTACTTCAAATAGCCAGTAGCTTGGTGGTCTGGTTGCAAACCTGGGCATGAGAATTCTAGGTGAGTGCCTTAAACATCAAACTACTGGTTATTTTTGGATGGATCTGTTTCTTTTGCTAAAGGTGCACTACTTTATATAAATAATCAGAAAAAGTGGATGCATCTACATGTTCATAAATGCTCATTAGGCTCCCTTAATGCACAATAGTGAAAGTGCACACATTTTTGGTGAGGCTTAATGCACAGTAGCCTAATTTTACTGCACATTAGTGGATTAGCACAGTTTTTGTGTGGTGCTCAAATGCACAGTAAAATAGGTTACTGCACATTAAAGCACATATGTAGATGCACCCAGTGAGTATAGTCCAGTAGTTAAGACTTCACTTGGACCATAGAGGACCCAAATTCATGTCCTTGCTCCAATGCATATTTAATTATTTAAACAAAAGCAGGCTGTTCCAACAGAAAGACTGTTGGCGATGCCGCTCAGAATATGGTTGAGATACTCGCTTGGGATTTGAGAGAGTGGCAATAGCAGACTTGAACCTGGGTGTCTCATATTCCCTATCGGTTCCCACATTGCTGCATCTTTTACTGTTCTGGGGTCTCTCTCTCTTTTGTGACTAGAGACTCCATACTGAACCTGAGAAATTTCAACAAATTTTTGTTAGAAAAATATAGACAAATTCCTAGCAAGCTGCACTTACAGTCCCTTTTCAAAACAGCATTCTGTCTCCAGAGTCAAAACAATTAAAAAAAAAATAGACATCTTATTTTTAACTAGAAGCATAACATTAGGTTGGAGGCCTTGAATTCGACAAAAGTTCACAGTGGTCTGAACAACATTGTGAAGTAAAGCTTGGAGAAAGGACTCAGCAGATAAATCACGAGGTGGCTAGAACACTAAGAAGGTGGTATTTAGCCCTCGATTCTGTCAGATGTTTCTGTGATAAGGCACATTCTCATAGTAGCTTAAGCCAGAATCTGTCACTCATAGCAGTCTCAAGAAAAGAAAACAACCCTGTAACATTAATCTTTCAGAACAAATATACCCAGCTCTCCAAATTAAAAAAAAAAATCTGCTGGGAAAATAAGCTAATATACTGGGTTTTGTTCTTCCCTGCATTTGAACAGACCTGCTAAGCAGGACAGTTTAATAGGGGTCTCAGGAATCAAGCTGATAATGTTTTATTTATTCATGTGCAAAATGTGTATAAGTGAACCAGGTACAAGGCAAGTGTGTATGTATAATGGTTTTGTCCTATAAAATACAGAGCAAGATTTTCTGCTCCTAAGGTCATACCTTCAGACAGCAGATTCCTTTTTGCATGTTGACTGCATTAATTAATATAATAAATGTAAAACAAAGTCTTAGATTGATGTATCCTATAGGTCACTTTTACCCTAGTATATTCATTGATAGAAGGCAGTAGATCTACTATCCCACTTCACTCCATTAATACAACTGAAAAAATTGAAACGGCACAACATTTTTTTTTAATAGAAACCCATTCCTACATGGTAGCACCATGGCCTACTCATGTCATTTTTAATACCTATCTGTAAACTGCTCAGCTTAGATTACTAAAGTATCAGGGAAGTAAGGAAACCTGAGCCCTCAATGTTTTAACAACTGATATTGCATCAGACGAAGGGCATGCAAATAAGGATGCTTACTCATTTTCAAAATGAATAGAAATACTATCATAGAATCATAGAAGTAGGGTCGGAAGGGACCTT